GATTGCCTTGTTTTCATATAGATCTCTCGAAGGAAAACGCATCTGCAAAGCTTTGACTCTGTAAAGGCTGGGGAAGCGTTGTTAAACCTAGAGGGATTTGAAATGTGCCCCCCCCGGGGGTGGGTGTGCGGGTTTCCCCGCGGAGTCTCCAGGTGTGTCCCGCTCCCGTGCCCTGCTCAGGTGTGGCTGGGGCAGCACCCCGCGGGAGTCTCTTGGCTTCAGGCTACCCTGAACACTCAGCAGCTCGTCTGTCAGTAACAACACGTCCCTGGAATCCTGTCCCCATATCACCCTCTCTGTGAGGCTGCAAACTTGGAGAAACGGCAAGTATTTTGGAGAGTTTCAAATCAGTTGTGTAGGTTCTTTCTTCATATCTCTTTTGAGTGTAACTTTTTATGAAACTGAGGCCTTGCTTATCGTTATGTATTATAGCACATGGTTGACTCTCATAACACCCAGTTCAAGGAACTGCGAGTTATTACAAGCATTTAGTTGATCTCACCATCTGCTAAAAATTTCCACAGACCTCTGGACATTACTACCTATGTCTGACCTTTATTTTCCTTCTCATCCAGATGCATTGTCTGGCTCTGTCTACGTTATTTCTCCCCCAAGCTGTTAACTATAAGTTCTTACATTTATTGACCATAAAATCAATACTAAACAGCCCAAAGCTGGTAGCTGTATGGCAGAGTTGGGGACTGTCATACAGATGAGCGTATTCACCACTGCCTGCTTGCCTGTGGTTTGCTTTGTTGTAATGAGTAAATGCTAGAGAAATGGATTTACTTCTCAGCTGTTAGGTGCAGCTGTGTGGTGTGACCAGTCCCCACCACTTTGCTGGGTGCCACTCAGGCTGTGCAGTTCTCTACCTGTGTACATGGCACTTGCTGTCAGTCTTCAGCATGGCCAAAATCCAAATGAGAGATTTGAGGCCTAATCCCACAAACCCTTCCTTGCACGAGGTGTCTCATTTGCTTTGGGTAAACAAACCAAAGCAAAACTTACTTGTTGCAACCTGTACCAGCACGTGGGTTTATAGGTTTTTCACTTCGAGTAACATCTGCTGCCAGGGAACAAACTGCTGTTTGAAGCAGGAGCAATGCTGGGTCCTAACCCCGGGGCAGGAAGGTTCACCTCCAGCTAATCCTGGCTGCCTGAAGTTTATTTTTAGTTCAGAATTAGCTGAGGTTCAGTGTGAGCAGTGTGAGGGAACATAGACCTGTTCACAGTGCCTCTTTCAGGGAACAGCTTCAAATGATATGGGAAAGAAACAAGTGGTAAGTTTGTGGACCCTTGAGTCTTATCATTTGTATAGCCTTTCATATTTCTGATAGCAGCTGATTATTTTTTTTTAGTATAACTCAATTATTTGTCTATACTTTTTCAATATAACCGTGTCATACAAAATCTGAAAGTTAACTCCCTTCATTTTTCTAGGTGAGAGAAAGGCAAGAGGTCAGTTTGAGATTAGTATCAGGAGATACTTTTAGATTTTAGCTGTGTTTAACCTGCTGGTAAATATTTTCAGAATTATATGAAAATTAATGTTTTATCATATTTTGAAGTATTTTCTCAGTAAGCTTATTTCCTTTTTTGTTTTATTACAGTTCTAAATTTACACCTTCATTAATAGAAAACAGCTCACGCTATATATACTGTCCAGGTATCTGGAATCCATAAATTATTGCAGTATTTTGATGATTAAATAGAGTGGGTGATAAAGCTTTCTAAGGAAAGCAGTACCTTATGTGAAAAGTGAAACTTATTCAAGTGCAGTTGGAGTGCAAGCTGTGCCTCACACACAGATGTTAGGTACATGTCCCTAATGCAGAGCCCATCAGAGCTCTGGTAAAACATATTATTCCTGCATCTTTTATGTATTACTTTTACATAACATCTCCATGAGAAGTTTCTAACTATTTCAGGGGCATATGGAGTGAAGCATCCTTTGTGTGTTCTGACCTTATCTGGAAACAGCTGTTTTCTGAGAGAAGTTTCATATTGACAGATGTTGACTTTTGTCTCTCTCTTATCTTTCAGTGCCCACCTCGTGCCCTCCCTCCAGTGCCAAGGTAAAATCAGTGTGTTCTGTGGAACTCATCATGGTGCTGTACTAAGATGTTTTTAACAGTAATGACATTAAGATAAATAAGTGTAACAAACATCTGAGTAATCATAGTGGTTTTAAAATAATTGCTTCTCTTGCTAATTTGTTGTCCCAGAACGCTTTACAAGGAATATGAAGTATTTTAAAGTTTTAAAGAGGTTGAGCAATTTTACTGTATTGACTCAGTTTTAATACTGTGAGAGATGAACCCTTTGAAAAAGTTTCAAATAACTATTCCAGTTTTAATATCTACTATAGTTTTATTGATGTCCTTTTCAATCTCTCCTTCCTTTGCTCTTTGTTTTGTTTCATGTACTTTAGTTTATTTCAATCCCAAATCCTTCAGAACTGGAATTTCTGAAATGAGACTAGATATTCTTGAAAAGGGATATAGGTGTTTACTAGTTTGACACAATATAGGTAAAAATCAGGTGTTTTTTTCAGTGTGGAAAGAAAAGCAATTCTGTAGTTCCTATGATGCAGTACTTTAGAATTCCTTCAGAGTACCTGGAAGTAAATGTGATGTTTATGATTGATGACATACCATGCCTTTTTAGTAATGTATGGGCTCAAATATTTCATGACTTTCATTGTTTTGTTACATATCAGGCAGTAAGACAAGTTTTAATTAGCCAGGTGGTTAAAGCTTTTAATCTGATCCACAGCTAACCAATCAACAAACTGTGCACAGCCCCGAACAAAGTGTTGAGTCTTGTTGATTGCTTGGTACCCTTTACCCTGCTGTGCACAGCAGCTCATAAAGAGCAGGGGGGAAAGGAAATGAAGCACAAAAGCAGCAGTGTAAGTTGCACTGTTGTGAATTGTCATTGAGTCACAAATAACTTTCTTCTCATCTTTGTTCCTTTTACACTGCTCTTCAACACCTTTTCTCCTTAAATGTGAAGTGGAAGCCAAGGTGAGTTATTTAAGAGAGTTACAAACATTGGTAGTTCATTTTGGTGTCACTTTCCTAAATGCAGGCTGCATGGATCCCTGTGCTGCCATTGCTGGAACTGTTGTTTTTCTTTGCTCTCTTTACTTGTTTGCTATCTCCACACTCAATCAAGGTAACTGAAATGTTGCCACTGCACTCTAAACAATAAGTTTGTTTTTCAGTGCATTATTCAGAGTGTTTTCAGTTTTTCACCTAACACACGTTCACATGTGCATTTAGTCTCTGCTGCACACAAGACACACTTCTTATCCTTTTTTCCTGCCATTTTCTGTACTCCTCCTGCTTGTGTGAACTGGTGAATTGCCATCTTCCCTGTAAAAGGTGAAGGATGTCATTATTAGTAGAAAGGAATCTGTTTCTTAACTAGCAATAGAATGGCTGGGAAGGGAAATGGAGATCTCTCCATGCTGTACACCTATACTCCTGTTTTCTGTTATACAGATGAAATTCCACTCAGTCGTCCCAAAAAAAGGAAATCTAAAGGAAAGACTCCATTAGGTAAGGTCCTTCCAAGTCTGAAAATTGTTCTTTTATTCCTGCCATTTTTCCTTTCTGAATTTTTTTGGGGCTTCATTAAATAGTCACTTCCAGCTGTAAGCTGCTGATTATGATGAATGTGTTAAGTGCTTGAATTTTTGAATGAACTAAATTAAAACTCATTTAACAATTTGGCTCAATTTCATTCCTGGTCCAAAGTTAATCATTCCATTATCACTGAAGAGTTAAGAGTCTAAAAGACGAGTAGCATCAGAGCTTTGTATTTTTACAAGAAGCAGATCTGCAGCACAGACAGATTGTTTTAAGCAAGGTTATAAGTCTGATCTATTTTGACAAAGCAGAATGTGTTGATACAATCTAGTGGATTTCTGTAGAACAGTTGACTTGGGTCCATACAAAAGTTTGATGAGTAAATCTCCTTTATTTGCTTAAATGCAACAAGTAGAGCTGTTGCTAGCAGAATTTCCCAAGGATCAAGTTTTGTTTACTGATGTTTTCAGTGAGCTGAATGATGGTGCAAAGTTCACCTTGATTTTTGCCATTACTTTGCTGGTTAATTTTGCATTTTAGCACAGCAAAGCTCTATGAAAAGGTGGGTAAACCTGAGCTTGAAGTGGAAGCAGAGATAGATTCAGTTGTTATCATAAAAACTTGCAGTCCTTGAAAGAAGTATAAAAAGACAGATGTGATGTAAAACAGAGAAGTAACCTTGTCTTTCTGCTTCTGATCATGCAAATTGATGCTACTGCTGCTAGAATATTTGGTGAATTCATGTTAACCTCTCAAGAAATGTAGTTCCACCAAACTATAGTAATTCATCTCTCAGACTGGAGTAAGCATCCTTCAGTGTTGTTTTTTTGCTCCTCCTTTATTTTTGTGGTGTATGTTTAGCATTTAAATTTCTCCTTTGATGTGATGCGGTTTTGCCTTAGCCACATACCTTGTAACAAACCCTTAATTTTTTTCTTGTCCCTTGCATTATAATCTTTGCACATAGAAAGGAAAAATTGAGATGTATAGTGGTTGCCTATGGTAGATTTATTTCGATCAGTCCTCTGTTGTATGCCCAACTGGGAGTTGTGCTGCTCTTTTGTGTGCTTACATTTTCTCCTGAGCATGAAACTGTCAGGGTGAAAGGAAGGTTGTTACACCTTTGTATATTCTTACGTATCACATTTGATTCCTAGCTCCTATATTTCCTAGCCAATGCATTTTCACCTCAGTTGTAAGCTGGGCAAATACAGGCATTTGCACAGTGTAGTAGCTTTTTCTTGCCTGTTTCTCAGTGGCTCTGAATTAAGGTTGCTGGATCTTTTCATCTGCTTTTCAGATGGCATTGTCCACGCAGCAGTTCGTCGGCAGTCGGAGAGCAGTGAGCCCCTAACTCCTGAGCCTCACGATGCTCCTCAGAGAAAACGCAAGAAGAAGAAGGTACCTGCTGGTATGTGGAATAACTGTAGGTCAAAAGAGCACTGAATAAAACTTGGTAATACAGAAATATGGTTGAGCGATGTGTATTTTGTCTTAAAATATTCCATGTGCTTTTGTACCTAAAAAAGCTGAAAATAATCTCTGAGTGAATGGTAGCTTAGAGTTTCAGTTTCTAATTTCAGATTCCATAGGGTAATCCATACCCATCCATAGGGTATTGCCATGAAAATAATGGCAATACAGTTTTGGAAGTTATAAGATAGATAGTTTACATCATTCAGGCTCAGAAGATTGTAACTTTTTTGCCACTGTGTTTATATAATAACTATTTTTTATGTATTTCCATTTTTATGAAAGCTGTGAATCTTTCATGTGCTTTATTTTAAATCTTCAGATTCTGAGACCTCTTTTACTCAGCAAAATGTTGCATCCCTGTTTCAGAATGGAAATGGCATGGATGTCCCTGAAGCTGAAGAAGCAGTGATCCGCAAACAGAGAAAAAGAATAAAGTGAGACAAAACTCATATGGCTCAGAATTTGGAGTAACTGTGGCAGTAAATGTGGCTGAGTCATATTTTACATCATCACATTACACAAATGTAACATCTTGAAGATCATGATGCCGTTCAGCCGCGTGCAGTTCTTTCCAGGGTTAAGATCTAACTTTCTTCACTTGTTAATCTTATGCACACCTGGATGCATTACAGTTCTGAATACATTTTTATGAGCCTAATAATTCAGTCACATACGTGAAAAAGTTAGAATGTGTAACTGCTTTCTTTCATTCTTGCTACCTCTTTCTTAATTTTGTGAGACTTAGCATATTTTTCCCCTGATTGTTCTAATTTGTTCTAATTGTTAAGCTCTTAATATGAGGTTAGCTTTATGGTTTTAGTTAACTACCTCCATGAGAACTTTAATCCTTAAAATTATAAACAGGGGAAATATTATACAGGTCAGCAGCCTGATTGGTTCTTATCAGTCAAGTTAGACATGCTAAGCGTTCACAAGAGGCTTTAGGTTTTACATTTTACTTCCTATTCTTTCTCTGCCCAATTTTATGTTGTGTGCTGCCAGGAAACCTCGGCCAGCAGAAATGCACTGTTCTGATGAGCTGGAAGTGGAGGAGGAGGACATCATTGAAGATGAGCACAGAAAGAGCCCAGACCAGCAGCCTGTGTTTGCTGCTCCCACAGGAATTAGCCAGCCTGTTAGCAAAGTGTTTATTGAAAAAAATCGTAAGTACGTCTTGATATTTAGTTAACTTAAGGACATTCTTGCAATTAAAGAAAACATAATTGTATTTAAAATGTTCTCCAAAACAAAAATTCTTTGAGAGTAAGTACACATGATAATTTTTCAAGAGTGAATGCTAGTGTTGCTGAGCTGCCATGGTTGGTTGAATTCTTTAATTCCGAGGTGTGGGTGAAGAAGGCTATATCCTTGTACCTAGCTGAGCTTCTTTGACTCAATACTGTCACAGTACCTTGAGAAGAAATTACTATTTAAAATAAGTTGTTCAAGTGGAAGATTTTTGATGAGTGTTTGGGTTTTTCTGGGTTGTTTTTTTTTCTTTTGTACCAGGGAACATTGAGTGATTCCCCAAGTACTTTGCCTGTTCTTAGATCCATAGCCTGACCCACCAGGATGTATCACTCTGACAGAGGCATCCCAGTATCAACACGAGCTAACAAAGGGCAGGAAATAGGGAGAAGTTTTCTGATGGAACTTCTGACACTTACAGCTTTTTAAAACTAATAGGTATTAATGTAGAAATTATGATGAGATGTAACAGGACTGTCTAAAATTAATTTCCTCATTCTTTCAGGGCGTTTTCAGGCAGCTGATCGTGCAGAATTGGTTAAAACCACTGAAAATATCAATGTATTTCTGGATGTTAAGACTTCATGGACTACCAGAGATGTTGCCCTCTCAGTGCACAGAAGTTTCAGGTGAAAGATAAATATTCTGGTGTAAATAAGTAGAAAACAGGGTTGGTTTGGTGTTTGGTTTGAGGGTTTTTTTCTCCCTGAAAACTGGTGCCTTTTCTCTATCATTGTGATGTTTCTTTATTTCTTTCGGATATTCCTAGTAAATGGTGGTTTAGGTTGCCACAGGTATAAAATTTATCAGTCCTTTAGCTTTTGGTATTTGTTGTCAAGAATATGTATTTCTAGTCTAGATATCACATGTGAAATGCAGCTTATGAAAAGAATAACTAAGGAAGTCATATTGCAAAGATTCAGACAAAATCTGAGTAGCAAGAGATTGATCTGATAACCAAAATATTAGAGATCTTCAGAAAAAGTGTGCTAGAAAATAAGACTGATCCATGAGGTATATCACCAGAATAAAAATACCTGAATTCAGAGAGTTCTCAAGTTAAAATCATGGTTGATGGAAAAAAAGGAGGAGTGAAATTGGACTGGGGCTTAAGCTTGCACACAACAGTGAAAAAATGATGTATTTTTATAATATGTGGTTATGTTGTGATACAGAATGGGATGATGACAGCTGTTTTCTGGTGTATTTGATCTGGAAGCCTGTGCTTCGTTCTCAGGCTTTTCCTTAGCAAGGAAGACAAGGAAAAGACTGCCTTGGGGACAAGTTTAGGAACATTGTGTAAGGAAGAGTGGTCTTGAGAAGCTACAGGCAGCGAGTAAAAATTATTTGATTCCTGTAGCAGTAATGAAGTAAAGGGAAAATATGCTTTTTTTCTTTCAGTACTCAGGTTGTGGTGCAGTCTGTTAAGGGAGGAAGCAGAAGTCCCATAGCTTAGAACTTGTAAGACTAGATCAGAAAAAGCACTCAGAAACAATCTCTGAAAGGCTTGGGATCCTGTCACAGCAGCAGGGCCAAACAGATGGATTCATAGGCCTTGTCTATCAATAGTTCTTTGCTGATTGAAGATGTTAAAGCTGGTCTAATGTTCTTTCCTTCATTCAGGGTGTTAGGACTCTTTACCCATGGCTTCCTTGCTGGGTATGCTGTATGGAACATCATTGTTATCTACATGTTGGCAGGAAATCAGCTTTCCATGGTTTCTAACCTGCTTGAGCAGTATAAGACAATAGCATACCCAGCTCAAAGTTTGTTCTATTTGTTGCTGTCCATCAGTACAGTCTCAGCCTTTGACAGGTAAAATATATTTGTATTTGAAAGGCATATATCATTTGTGTACAATGTGTTCCTTTCTCCTTTCACACATTTTGATCTGTTGTTGATGATCTAATGGGATATACTTGAAGAATGATCTTACACATGGTGGCTCTACAGAGAAAGGGTGTATTGTGCATCCAGACCTCTTTTACTCATGTCTGTCCATTGCTTGCACCCTGCTTCCGTGCACACACTGTTTGTGTGATCAGCAAGTGAAACAAATACAAAAGCTAACCTGTTTTTTTTTGGGAAGGCAGGGATGGGGAGAGGAGTGGAGAACAACCAGTGTTTCTATCAGGCTACGTTTTCTGTGAATCTATTCCCTAGTCAGGTTTGAAACATGCTGTGTGAACAATTTGCCTGGCTCAGTCAGGGATGAACATAAAGAAGCACATGAAAAGATAATAGACAAGATTCATAGATGTTACAAATGTTTCTTTTACTTACAGATAGTTTCCACAGCAGCATGATAAACCAGGGCTTCCCAGTGCTCTGGAAAAAATAGTAACTTTTTTACCAAGTGGTGGCAGGAAGGAGTCCTAAGATGTTCGTATTTGCTCCCGTAAGCAATATAAGCAGTTATGGTAGTGGGCACTGGACTGGATGGCAAGGGCTAGAGGGGACAGGTCTCTCTATGTTCTCCTTGTCTCAGAAAGGTCTGTGGTGTGAAAGCTACAAACCTCCTGGAACATTGTCCTTAGTTTCATTCTTTCTTGAATTTGGCATAATGAGGACCATTGCTATGTGTGTGATACAGTCGTGTATTAAGGCACTGTAACAGAGGTAGAAAAAAATACCTTGCAAGAAGTATAAGAATAATAGAACACTGTTAGAGGAACAAAATGATTGTCTTACTGGGCTACATTAATGACTCTTGGTTTTGTTATCAGGACTGATTTGGCAAAAGCATCAGTTGCACTGAGGGGCTTTCTTACCCTGGACCCAGCAGCAGTGGCTTCTTTCTGTAAGTAACTTCCAGAAAAGCTGGTAAATGGAAAACTCCTACATAGTGTTTTTAGTGAAATCTTTCTCCCTGGTTATTTTCTGCTTTAGAATAAGTGACTTGCTCAGTAGTTGAAAATAGCAAAGGCCATGAACACGTTGCTATGTACTTTTTTAAAGCATTTTGCAATAGTAGCATTAATGGGGCTGTTAGTGGGATAGTTCTTTCCCACTTCTGAATACAGAACACAAACCTAACAAAAAACAGAATCACAAGATGCCACTTTTGATGTAGCTGATGGATTGCAGAACTGCAGAAACCAGATTTTGATGGGTCAGGGGAATGTTGAAGGAGAGAACAAATTAAAGGAGACTCATTGGAGGCAGTAGAGTGAAAGGAAAGAAAATGTAGTGATTAGTACCATGTCATGATGAGAAGCATTTGAGGGTATATATCTGATACTGCTAATTCCATTTCTTCCAGTGTACTTTGCTGCTCTTATCTTATCCTTAAGCCAGCAGATGACTTGTGATAGAATCAACCTCTACACACCACCTTCGGAAAATGGCAGCATCTGGTAGGAAACTTAAGAAATCACTTCTGTAAATTGTAACAGTCCAAACTGTTGGATTGAAAAGGTCATACAGTATATATATAAGAAAGTATTAACGAAGGATTTAATTACTAAACCTACCTTTGTCTGAGCTTGGCCTGAATCTTTGATAATTTCACTGAAAAATGAGAACTCAAGGATGGGTTTGGTCATCTTGGTCATAAATCCATTATACCTTAAACAAGAGCCTGTTGATATGATGCTGGAAATGTCATCTGGCAGGAACCTTGAGAATCTCTTTTGCATGAGAAACGGGACCCTACGGAGCTAACCCTTTTGGGTTCAAGGGCAGGACATTTTGTAGAGAGGCAGCACTTCCTGAAGGGGAGAGTCTACCACAAGGTGCATGAGCTTAGAAGACACAGCTGGCATTTAAATATAAAGCATTGTTTCATGCTAGGTGATCCCATCCAAAACTGTTTCTTTCTGAAGTAGATATTAATGAACTAAACTTCTAGTAGCGTGAGTTTTTAAACTAGACCAGTAGAAGTAGAACAAAAACATTTACATGAAGATTTTCTGGTTTGAGTAGTTAGATTATTTATTTTTTTAGGTCTTCTATAGTCCTTTGTTGAGTTGTTTATTAAAAAGCCTAGATTCTAGTAACAAAGTCATAACCATGGTTGTGACAGTAAGAAAAGTGTCAGCTAACTTAAATCATACCTGCTTAAAGCCCTATTTCATCCACCCCACAGCATCTGTATGCAAGTCATTGCACTGGCTTCCAGACAGACTTTGCTGACTTGCTGTTCACTTGCCTTACTGCCTCATGAGGAGGTACTTAAAAATAAGATCAACTGATGATACTGTGTGGTGTCTCTCCACAGTAAAGTTTGACCATGCATTTTGATTTTGTCTCTTGGCCAAGAAAAGGAATTTACTGTTGAAATCTACAAGGGGACATTTTCTGTGAGATAATGAGCTTTCTTATCTGATTTACTGTCTCTGCTAATTGCTCTTTTTATCAGGCTTTTGCAATGCAAGACCATCACAATGGTACAAGTACTTCTGTTTTCACATCTAGCCTAGTAATCTTGTTTTTCTGATAGTCTGTTGAAATTACTATTGTAATCTCTATGTACCAGTGAACTGACTGATGGGTTGATGTTTTCCCAGGACTGCAGGTACAGAGGAAGAAATTGTTCAGCCATGGGTTGTGGTGAATCTAGTAGTGTCTCTTCTAGTTGGGGCAAGTTGGATCTTCTTGTCTTACCGACCAGAGCTAGACCACAGTGAAGGTAGGAAACATTAACAGGCAAAATGTTGTTTATTCGAGCTTCTGTCTGCTGTGCTCTGCATTTGGTGTCGAACACTAGTCCTGAGAAATTTTGTGACTGAGGGAAAACAAACATCTCCTAGTAACCTTCCAGTGCAGGTGGTTCTTAGGCTGCTGGTGTCTGTGGTTTTATAGAGAAAAAACAGGAATTAAAAAAGGAAAGAAAAGCCTTCTTTGTCCTGCCTGAGGCAACATGAATTTTGAAACATGAGAGCATATCTCTTTTTCACTGAAGGGGAAAATAATTTTTACTTTAACAGTATTTTAAATATTTGAAATGTATTTATTCTACTTGTGTTTTAGCAAATTCCCTGGTGTTAGGAATGTTCCTTTTGCAAATGGTTAATGCGTTTCAAGGTCAGTATTATTTTCAGTAAATAAGGACTCCAAATGAGGAGTGCTTGTGTGGGTCCAATATGGAGGAGGGGGCAAGCAAGTTCTCTTCATAGAAGCAGCTTTGCTAGAGACTAGGCCTTCTTCCTTTTGTGTTGCAACTGGGATCCAAAAGGTGTATGGAAACTCAGCTTTCCTGTCAAGTGCATGCAGCATGTGACTTGAAGGTATGCTGTACCTAAAAATACTAAGATTAGGATGAAAAGCAGGAGGCTTGGGGGAAAGCCAAATGGAAAAATGGAATTGTATTCAGGTGAAAGTTTTCAAAGAAAACACAATTCTTTTCTTTCTCTTTTAGAACTGATGTTTCATGCTGATGTTGAGGAATATCCCCAGGGTGATATCTTACCCAGAGTCCAGCCATGAGTGTGGAACCAGCATCTGCAAATATTGTAGCTATGACTGATGGCTCAACATGTTGTGTATTATAGCTATGTATTATAATTTTCATAAAGAAAAAAAATGTATTTTTATATTGTATATATTTCATGTATGCTACACTTTCCAAATGTGATTGGAAACTTTTATACTTGGCTTTTTATTTTACAAAGTAGATTATCCTTAGTGCATAAAGTCAAGGTGACTTTGTAAATATTGCTGCCTACATAGCCAAAGGCACTAGTGGGATGCTGAAGATCTGTTATCCAGTGCTTCTCTGACTGCTGTACAATGTTCTACAACCTGCTTTGGTTACTAATGCTAATAGCAGTTAGCTTATCTGATTTGGTTAAATATTCTCTAGAGATGAAAACAAATCTTCCCATGAAAGCAGTCTAAGGAAGACTATAGCTAAGCAGAATCAGGAGACATAAAACCCACCAAGTTAGTAAGCCTAAAATAATTGCATTCAGTTGTCATAAAATAGTATTTGCTAGAATAAAGGATTGAATTGACAGGAATTTTGTGTAATAACTTGGTAAAAGAGGACACTGTTTTTCTTTAGTTCTTTAGTTCTTTAGTTCTCTTGATAAAGATCTTGATAACAAGTTCTTTCAAGTTGATGTAGATATGAGAAAAGGAAGTTTTAATGTTGCAACAGTACAGGCAGTTAATAAATACCTAAATATATCTTCTAACCTAAATGCACCTTCTAATGAAACAGAGTGGTTTTGCATTGCCAGCACGATATATCCATGTCCTGTAATTTCTCAACAGTCAGGATGCATAACTATTACAAAGCCATTCACAAGAATAGTGTTCTGATTTCTTCTTGTCTTGTATGGCAAGAACAAGAGTGTTGTTCACTGCTCTTTCTAAAGAAACTAAGATTTCATGGATGTTAAAAATGTTCCTACTTCTGCCTATTTTGATGGAGGTTGATTTCCCCAAAATTGTTGTTTTGTGTTAGTATAGAATGACAAGCAAATCAAGCACTCTGCAGCAACCCACCTTCTGTGTAGTGATGTGGTGGTGGCAGTTGGTGGGTTTTGATAATGATAGCCAACATTCTTTTTCTTTGACATTACGGTGGCAAAATGAAAGCACTGCAGATGTGAATAAATACAGATGTATTGCAGGACTAAACAGTCTCCTTAGCAAACACAGACAAACCATTTCTCAAAAATGTATCACCTAAAGCCCCAAACCTATTTGTATATCTTACTTAATACATATTGAGTTTGCATTGTTGGATTTAATATGTGTGTCTAAAGGTGGTTGTAAAGGGGGTGCAGTTGTCAAAAGTTTTCTGGAGAATTACTGAACTTTTTAGCAGTGAAGTTAAGAGTAGCCAGATCAAAGGCTTGAAAGGCTATGTTAGAGCCATTAACTTTCTGTGCTGTTACCTGAGTTGCTTTAAGACAAGGGTGGGAACACAAGTAACAAGGGCTGTTGCTACCCTGTTGCGGATTTGAGTTCTCTTATGTCCATCCAGCAAACACGTTATTAAAAAATTCGGTGCTCATGGCATCTTTCAAATGCTACGGTAATCATGCCTGGGAGGGAAGAGTTCTATAAGAATTTAAAAATGTTCCACAGCTGTTGGCTGTGCTCTGGGGCACTCAGTTTGTTGTAGAAGAAGCCGTTAACCTCTTTGTAAATTGTTATGGCTCTTGTGTATGTATTTTTGCAAAACTGTGGATCTAAATTATGGCTGGTACTGCATTATACATTGAAATGGAGAGATCCAGGGTGCCACTTGCCTTCAGTGCTACACAGGATGTTCTTGTGATTTGGTTGTAGGAGATGGGGATGAGGTGGTAACCCCGTGTAGCTTACCACCACACTTTCTCCTGATGTGGTGTGTTTAATTTAGCAAGTCATTGAGCACCTGAAGATGTGATTAATAATGGCTTGCTTCTCTTTGCTGTGTGACACTTCTGTCATCTTGCTATGGTAAGAATAATTTTGCCCATAAAATATGAAGCTCGGGCAAAACCGTGCTAAGGCATCACATCAGTACAGGAAAAACTCGGATAACATCATTGCTTGATTTCTGGCATTATTGTTAGGAATTGGTCTTCCAAGTATCCCTTGGACAAAAGCGATACTAGCTAAGAGCCAGAGTGATTCTCATTGTAAAATCCAGTGGTTAGTTTAGATGGTTGAGTAGAGATTGAATTAATGTGAGCTTAACGTGATCCATATTTCAGAGCAAGCTTCCCTTTCCAGTGTATCTTTTTAGGAAGGTCTGAGTATATCCATATTTAAATTAATGAAGTTTGAGGTTGCCATATAAAAATCAGAATAAACAATTTGTTATCAGAATAAACAATCTGTTTTACAAAGTACTTTTCACTCCCTTAAGCCTCACAATGGAATATGACTTTAACTGAGCTTTTTTGTTTAGTTTCTTGGGAAGTTTTAGGATGAGTTTACAAAATAGATGTTTAATTACAGAATCATAGAATCAACCAGGTTAGAAGAGACCTCAAAGATCATCCAGTCCAACCCTACCGTTGTTACTCGTCCATGGCACTAAGTGCCACATCCAGTCTCATCTTGAAAACCTCCAGGGATGGTGAATCCACCACCTCCCTGGGCAGCACATTCCAATGCCTGATCACTCTCTCTGTAAAAAATGTCTCCTTAATATCCAACCTAAACCTCCCCTGGCAGAGCTTGAGTCTGTGCCCTCTTGTCCTACTGCTTAACATGCAATATATGTAGAAGCCTTAAATGCCTTTGTGCATTTCCATACCATTGTTTTTAATGCAGTATTTTTATGTAATGAAAAAATTACAGCTGTGTTGGTGCCAATTTCTTGTTTTTGCATACATGAGACATTAAACAAATGCTCTAAACTAGTTAGAAATTATTGTACTACTTTGTCCTGTTTCCAGTTGTTTAGTCTGTTTAAAATAAATAAGTACATTTTTTCCTCCAGTGCTAACATTATGTATAATATGTAAGTTCTGAACAGATGTTTATGGGCAAATGTTTTTGTGGCAGTGTTGTTGGCATTAATGTCTTCGCTTTCCCTCCCATCAGAGTCCTGCTGCTGTAATGGTCTTGTGCAATCAGAAACGGCACTGAAAACTGGCAAGTAAAGTGTATTTTATCAGTTAATAACACATGTGTAGCCTAAAAAGAAGACTATTAAGAGGGGAATCTGATTGCAGTCTTTAACCATGTATTACACGGTAATTACAAAGAAGACACAGTCAGACTCAAGCTTCACAGTGAAAGGATGAGTAGAAATGGTCACAGGCAGCATCAGTGTACCATTAGGTGCCATGGGAGTTTTGACTGAGGATTTGGGATGGGGGCAGAGGAACTGTCTGTGGAAGCTCCATCCCTGGGGCTGCTCCAGACTTGGGTGGACCCAATGGGCTTCCAGAGGCCCTCCAAAACTGAATTGTCCTAATTTTGCTCCTTAAAAGGCAGTTACTTAAAATTTGGTTAATTTCCATTTGGTTTGAATGTTACTTGCTCAACATAGCTTTCTCAACATGAAGCTGGGTAGCATTAATATGCAAAGTGGCTTTCTTAAGTTGTTTTTGTATTGCTGAGGTAAACTTTAGGAGGGTCAGAATTATTTGCTTGTATATTTGCAGTAGAATTAATTTAAATGCTTTGGGAGAAGAGAGTAAACCATGAGGTACATACCTATAGCTAAGCCTAAGCCTAAGCCTTACCTCTCTTGATTTTCAGATGCATTCAGGCAGGCCTCAAACAGTGATACAAAGAGCAAGATCTTCTACATAAACATCCACACCCACTGACTGATGTAGATAACCCACACAATGAAAAACAAACAGATGAATATACTTTTGGGGAGAAAAAACCCTGAACAACCTACCACTCCCCAACAAACAAAAGAAAAACAAAACTGCAACAACCATTAAAAAAAACACCAAACAAACAAAAAGCCACAAAACAAGCACTTATGAAAAAAGAAAGGGGAAAAAAACAACAGTCAAGATTTTGAAACAGTTAATAAGTCTCATGGTTAAAGACCAAGAACAAGTATCTTGAAACAGTAAAATTCTTCCATTTTAAATGCTTGTGATTCTGATACTCTAGCAGAACATACTTTTAGGCCATGGCTCATCTCTACAGCAAATTGCCCAAAATGTGGCATTTTACACGTCCAGCATGAGGGAAACAAAAAGTTGCCAAAAAATCCTGACTACAGAAGTCAAAAGACAAGCAATGTAGTAAGGCTCCTGAGAAATGTGCCATGCCATCAACATCTGGATTAAATATTAACAAGTATGCAATTTAAGAAGGAAAAACAAACTAATTTGTCCTCAAACCAGTTTGAGGAAATCTAGTGGTGGTGTAAAGAAAAAACACGGAAAGAATGCTGAACCAGCTTTTGCAGCATCACATGCTGCAGGGTCCGAGGATTCAAAATCATGTGTTCTCCCATAATAAGGAAAAATTCAAGCAGAAAGTAGAGCAGGAAAAAGAGCATGACAGCCAGCCAAATGTCATTCAAAAGTCTCCATCAGCTACTGCAAACAGCTACCTCAAGACCATGAAAGCATTTAAAGAAAACTCATCTACAACAGACTTTCCAAATTTAACAAGGGCAAAAGGAAATCTGCCCGTAGAATGTAGAATAAACAAACTTTTAAGATAAACTGTAGTAGATAAATGCAGCAGTGATGCTCTTGACCCATATGCCATATTGATGTAGACAAAACAGGAAAACCTATGCCATCTTGCCAGCAATCCGTTCTTCTCTATCGCAGATAGATTTCATGACAGGACAAATACAGATTCCATGAACCTGGATTTGTGGGTAAATAGTAGTAATGGTGTATTCTCTAATCATATCTAAAAATAAAATCACCAATCAAGTGCAGGTAATTTCATATGGATGTTTTTGGCATTTTTCAGGAATTTCATGGGACTTTTGGATGAGAAAAATACACATATATAAGGTATAGAGTAGAATCAGTTGTTTTCATGTGTGAATAATAGAGGTTTCCACAGGAACCTGTTTAAACATAACATTCTTTCCTTCATCCTATCTCAAATTTCTGGATATGTTTAATTATGTT